TAAAGCTCCCCGTACGAGATCAGCCAACCTGGAAGAGAATCAGGACTAAGCTAAATCATACCGTACCATTGCATCTCTTTTTGAGGAAAAGGAACTCTGTGACTGATAATTGTTGAATGTTATGAATAATCTATTAATAGCGTAATTGAAGAAAAGAAATCCTAGAATTTCTCTCATCAACAGTTTGCCTAGCTGAAAGGAGAAACAGATTTAACTAGAACCCCAAACATGTTTATAAACTAACTAATAACCCCAGAGACCTGTAAAACTAAAAGTCATGACACAGTATCATTGAACGATAACAACAGACGTTGAATTTAGCCAACAGAGAGGTTCAAGAATTTGAGTCATCTTTACTTCAGCTTGCCCTGACAGGTTTAATGTCTTTATCCCCTTTCTAATCAGTATAATACTCATCCATGGTTGTGGCTCCTATAGCCATGACACCACTGATCAGAGTCCAAACAAAATGCCTGATTTTTTGGAGGAAGACCTGTGGACCTTAGAAATTTCTTCCAAGCTTGAGAGTAGGAGGTGAGTTTGTAGAAATCTTGTACAAAATCTCATGCAAAATCTCTGTGCAGAAATTTACTGTGCAGTAAATTCATGTGCAGTAAACTACTCCTGGATGTGCATCTACATGTGTGCCCAGGGCATGAGCAAATTGCACCTGATGGGAGCCGTGTAGTCCAGGGCTGCACAGAGCTCAGAGCTCCAGGGGTAGCTCAGGTCTCAAGCTCTGCATGACCCAGAGCTTCCTCCAGACCAGGACCAGCTTGCCTTTCACCCTCCCTGAATCTCAGAACTAAGCCCCAAGCTCCATGCTGCCCAGAGCTGTCTTTGGAGCCAGGGACTGCTCCTTCCCTGCCCCCAAGAGCTCAGGACTAAGCTAAGTAGTTGTGTCCCCCTGCTGCCAGGGCTGATCAGGAGCAGTTTGCTCCCAGGCCAGCATCTACATGTGCAGTTAGATGCATTAATGTAAAGCGCCATCAGGTAGTACCTGTATCTATTGATACTACCCAATGGTGCTTTACATTAATCTACTATGCACTAATAGTAGCACGCATATTCATGGTGATGCTTTACTGCACATTAGTGTAATGCGCAGTAAAGTGCATGTGTAGACATGCCCACTGACAGTATAGAAGGGCCATAAAATCCCCAAACACAGCTAGGGAGGTATTCTTCCTTGTTAGAAATCAGTGTGATTAACTACAACCTGTCTAGTTAGTGCTACTGAGGCAGAAGTAGGGAGTCAGGCTGGGGGAGATGCAGTGAACACTGTCATGTCAATTTTTTGTATTGCTGCTGCCTTATATTCACTTGGGATACTGTTAACCACCTGAATTTTACATATGTATTACTGGTGCCATTTCTGGTGTCTGCAGCAGTACAGAATTACAAGGGTATAAAAATAGCTTAAAGCCATCTTTTTCCCAAATTGTGATTTTTTTTTTTTTGAGTTGCAGCTCTCAAAGGAAGCATAGTCAGACAGTGTGCATGGGTGTGTGCAATTAATGGGTAAAATGCACACATGCTCACCCTACGTTTATTCTTCCTTTTTCCCCTAGCCTGCAGTCTCTATTGATGAAATTGATTTATGGATTTTACAAATATAACATTAATGTTTGTAGCTTTATTTCTTCTATCTTGAGTACAGGGACTCACTTAGAATTGGTATATGTGAGCCTGAAGTGCTTTTTTTGGTCTCGGAATCCATGATCCTTTCTGTTCTTTCACTGCCTTCCTTTTCTATTTTTTTGGAATCTCTGCATTTCTCCTTAGGTTTCATTTCTTTTAAATTTTTCCTACCATTAACTCATGTGCCTCTCATCTTTTCTCCCTTATTTTCTATTTCTTCATTCACACATTCTGTCATCCCCTTTTATCTGTCTACACACTCCTCTGGCCTTGTGGTCTTTTTCACCCTGTTTGATCTCCCTATATTCATGCTACAACTGAGCAAACACTTTTCTTCACCTGTGAAGTTTGCTAGCTAATTTATTTATGATGATTTTCTTATATGTAACAGGGTACCATGGCATTTTATTCACTACCTGGGACAACCTATATGATTAAATATCACTCAAAGTATCTGTGTAAAAAGACATTCTTTTTTTTTTTTTGAAATTCAGAGGTTTTATTTAAAACCTTTTTCATACAAAATAGTCTAGAATACAAATTATTTGACAACTGCATATTAGTTCTTTGAAATAACTACCAATGCTAGGATGGAATATAAAGCATCACCTTTCACATTTTTGCTGTTGAAATTTGGGTGACTTGTTAAGGTGTTGGATTTGTATGTGTGTTTTTTTTCAATATAAAATTCTTAACTACCTGGTATGTTTTATTGCCTTTTATTAACACATGAATGGTAAGCAGCATGGTAAAAGTGGTGTCTATTTGTTCCAAAAAAGATTCCATTCATCATTTAATGATTTTAGTGTATTTTGGAAATTCTGAAAATGCAAGCAATAAGCCAGATTTAGACTAGAAGCTAGCAGACAACCATAGGTTAGAAAAACAAGAAAATAGATATCTCTTTAATGGAAGGAAGTTAGATTCAGCATATACATTGGTACATAGGTGTGGTAAAGAAGCCCCAAAACATAGGCAATATTTCGATAAAAATAATACAGAAACATTACATACTAACCAACCATAAAGGGCTTATCACTTAAGTTTCTTTTACTCCTGAGAAGTGGTCACTAATGATAATGAGATAATGATTGAAGTGGAGTGTTCCAAAGCAGAGGGGTAGTAGAGATCTTTTCTCATGTCCTGAGCTTCAGCACCAAAAAAATTGTGAGGATAATTTGTTTTACTACATTTCATCAGGCAGAAAGAATCATTAAAAGACTATCAAAAACTAGTTCACTTGATACAAGTTTAACCATACTTTTCAGCCACCAGAACCTCGTCTCTCATAGACGCTCACAGCATCGCTTTTCAACAGTGCTCCAGCCAAAATACAGTATGTAGGCATGGATGAACTTGCTTTACTTCATTTCAGACTTGTCTGAACTTAGTGGCTTAGTATATTTGATTTTAATGTTCTTGAGTTTGCATTTCAGTTAGGATAGACTAAGGGAAAAGGGAGGGAGATGAGACAAAATTCAATGCAAAAATAATTTGAAAAACAAGCACGAAAAACTTGATTCTGTTTGTGTATGTCACATGCAAGGAACATTTTTTTTTCTCAAAACCTGCCATGTTCTGGGCACAAAGTCTTCTGTTTAGTTAGAAAATCACGTTTAGTTTTATATTTTCTTAGAATGAAAAAATGTCTATAAGAAAAAAATGCCTCAAGGCTGAATTAGTTTCATGAGCTGCATTTGAGAGGTTCAGGGCGCTTTGAGCTCCATGAACCTATCATAGTACCCATCATAACTGTGATGGAAGGACACTACATTTATGATGTTAATGCCAATAACTTGTGCTTACATCTAATACTCCCACCTTCAGTGTCTTCTTTGTTACTACTTTGTCTGACTAAATGGTCTTGTTATACACATAGTGAGCAGTGCATGTTAACAATTAATACTAATTTTCCTGTAATGTTTTTGTTTTTAGGGAGCTTTCAGCATCCTGAAACTTGAGAGGATTAGAGTGGCCAAGGAGTAGATTGGCATCAGTTTTAAACATTTAAGGTATGAAAAAATGCAGTAATTAATCCTTTTCTATCAACTAGCAGTACTAGCAAACAGGTAGGTGAAGTGATTTATTTGCATCTGGCTTTCTAGTATTTTATTTCAAAATCAAAACACATAAATTTGTAATAAGAGATCTTATGACATGAATATCTACTTCATCCCCTAGCAAAATCTGCCCATCTTTCAGTTAAATCACTTAGTAGTCGAGTTTATTTGCTGTGGTGGCCATACAATCTATGCCTAGTGTTTGCTATTTCTGTGTACATATTTATATATTTTAACCAAACTAGCTTGGCCACTATTTCATGAGCAGGGATCCTAGTTTTCTGTTTAAAAATCACAATTTTGTTTGATAAAAAATCCCAAGTTCTCTGATTAAACACCATTATATGTAGATATCAATTGCTTGGCACACAGTATAGGGAACGTTAGACACTTGGACATAACAGCCCCTGGGGAGATCATGGATAGCTGTTCTACTCTATTTTGAAGACTAATTTGGTCCTGGAGTAAAGACATGATTTAAAGAAGAGCTGTTCTCCTCTCCTTGGTGGTATGCCAAGTGCAGATAGGTCCAGTCAGGTTTTATCATCCTCTAAGTTCATTTTATTTACATTTTTAATTTAGAATTTGTTCCACAGGTCTTAGTAGAGAAGGTTCTACTGAGTCTCTTGCCTTGATGGTTGAAACTCCCACATCACCTTCACTAGTCTCAAGTCTCCAGTCTGTATATTCTTGCTCTCTTGATCAAAATGTTG